GAATACTAAGTTTTACCGATACACTCATTAATAACATAACTTTTCTTTGAAATTTAACAGGAACCGTGTTGACATATTACAATCAAATTTATGGAAATGACAACAAAAGGTTACGACTCTTACCTCTATTTTAAAACCGAATTCCCAGTAGGCATGATTGAAGTCGGCGACAATGAATTGGATTAATTTCTCAGAATATGAGCTCATAAGTTCCCTGCTGCAGGTTTTGAAGAAACTATTCAATCAATATCTTCGTCTCAAGTCTATCCGCATCCGTTATACAATAAGTTCGGTATATACTGAAAATATTGAAATTAACCAGGGATTATATAATTTTACGTGATATATCCATAGTATGTAGTTGCAGGGGTGCCCATCCCCCCAAGGTCGATGGCGCAAGAACCTGCCTGCCCCCTTCCTTCCAAGATATTTTATTGCTTACTTTTTCTTAAAAATAGAAGAAGCTGAGATAGAATTGGAAAATTCGTAGATCATATACAATTACACTTGCTGGGACCTGGTCTCTGTTTCTCCACTAGACCCTTAGTCCGAAAATTCATAACCCCGTCGAAATTTGCCACCCTCAAATATTCAAAAACCTGTCAAACTTTGTCCCTCTCAAAAATTTTGATGACGCAACTTGCGCCGTGAAACCCTCTTCTAAACAGTGACGGAACCAGGAATCTTCTCAGGGGATGGGAGGGCGCATCTCTGTACCAGGTTTGTGAAGTAAAAAATGTATTCTTTAAGAAATCAAAGAAAGTTAAATTGTGCGTCGATTGAATACCTAAACTTAATAATTTCATTAAGTGATATGGTCATAGACATTTTGGCGTAATAACGGTCAACGACCGCTAATTTTTACCAACTTTGTCAAAATCTGAGACAGATTACTATAAATGGCCCTGCAGCTTGGAAATGAGTTTTCTAAAAAAAAAAAACTCAGAATAAATTCCGATTCCGATCATAATCAGATTCCTCCGTTTCCAGCATTCCACCGTTCAACAAGGACTCCGAATTGTTGGCCACATATCCTCAGCCTTAGAAAGCAAAGAGTATTGCTCGGGAGCATTCCTGGATATTGAGCAAGCTTTCGACCGCGTATGGCACACCGGACTACTCTTCAAGCTCAAAACCCACCTACCCCAGTCCTTATATCTAATACTCCGATCCTACCTCTCTGACCGCTCCTTTCGAGTTCGTTGTGGTACAGAATTCTCCAACTGCCATTCAATTGAGGCGGGAGTTCCTCAAGGCAGCGTCTTAGGTCCCGTCCTCTACATTCTGTTTACCGCTGATATTCCTACTCATCCCGAAACCCTCCTGTCAACATTCGGACATCATTATCCTTCGTAGCAAGTCCTGTCCACCAGTCCACTTCAAAACCATACCACTTCCTCTCTCCGACACAGTCCAGTATCTTGGCTTTCTTCTAGATAAAAGACTAACGTGGAACCCACATACCAGACAACAACTAAACAGACGATTCGGACAGCTATATAGACTAATGAATAGAAAATTTCAACTTTCAGTCGACAACAAACTACTAATCTACAAGACAATCCTGAAACCTATCTGGACCTACGGACTAGAGCTGTGGGGGTCAACAAAACCTTCTTACATTAAGTGCATTCAATCCTTTCAGTCTATAGTCCTCAGAACAATAGTCGATGCTCCCTTCTATGTATCCAACAAAACCCTCCATAATGACCTTCATATCCCATTTGTTATTGACCTAATCCCAGACAAATTTTCCAAATTTCACCAGAAACTCACTCATCCTGTAGCACAATCTCTATCCAGCTTCAGCCATCCCTATAATCCTCCCCGGAGGTTAAAACGGCAGTGGCCCCGCGACCTTTTGTAAATATGTATATATTGGAGTACTGGCAATGGCCAGATTCTCCACTCATGTCCTGAGCGTTTGTTGCTCTAGTGCCCTCCATCAGTTTCCACTGACTTGCAATACCAGTGACGCGGCTGGGGGAGAAGCACTGGGATCTCCTGGGGTCCTGCCTTGTCTTCCACAATTGAGGGACAAAGCATGACTCGGAATCCTCTGGGCGAATGTAAATATTGTATGTAGGTGTGAATGTGTTTTATTTATTTCAATTTCATTTAGCTTTTCTGTATTTTTTTTTATTTTTTTTTTTTTTTTACCTAGTTATCATTTGTATGTATATATTGTGTGAATGTTTAATGTAGTCCTAATATTAATGCCCTCCAATATGGCAGAATGTATTAATTTAAAAAAAAAAATCAGATTCCGATCATATCGGAGACCAAATAATTAGTATCTTCCTTTATGAAAAAGTTCCCAATCGCAGCTATTTTAAGAAAAGAAAAAACTTTCTAATGAGAAATATATAAATTATTATCGTGACCAGTTTTATGAATTGCATGGATTCTTCAAGGAACCATAGTTGCTAGAGGTCGCAATGCGCTCAGATCTATTTAACTGAATAAAAACTTGGTCCAGGAGAAAAAAACGTATTTTCTTGTGCTCAAATAAAAGGTTGTTCATAAGAATAAATAAAGTTCATTTTTTAAAAAATAAATTAATATTCCTCTATCACCTGCGAGAATCAGTTCGGAGTAGATAAGAACAGACTGCGACAACACAAGCCTTGGGAGCTCACGCACAGTAGGACGAGTACTTGTTAAATTATGTCATAAAATGTCGACGTATTGTTCGGCGTTCATTATATTGTAAATAAAGGTTACGTTTCCAGCGCCATTCCATGCCATGCCCTCCAAAACCTACATACTTACACCCAGGGGTGCCCATCCTCCCCAAGGTCAATGGCGGAAATACCTACACTCACCTCCTCTCAAGATACTTTATTGCTCACCTTTTCTTAAATACAGAACAAGCTAAGGTAAAATTAGAAAGATCGTGAATCATATACAATTACACTTGCTGTGGTCTATTCCATGTTTTCTCCTTGTCCCTTAGTCCGAAAATTCATTACCCCGTCGAAATGTGCCCTCCTGAAAAAATATAAAAATGCGTCAAAATATACCCTTCCTCAAAAATGTTGATGGCGCATCTTGCGCCATGAAACCCTTTCGGGGCACCTCTGCTTACATCTCAATGTTTTACAGGAGGCCTCGCATGTAGATTTTGAAACTCAGTTTCAAGTTTTCGCCAAACAACTTATGGTCATTAGAATGGAATATGTTAAACCTAGTTTTATCTGAAAAAGTAAGATTTTTCTAGAATTCTAGGTCTTTATTAAATTAACTTTTGGCAAACTCAAGTCTTTTTTTGCGGTTCGCCTGTGTTATTAAAGGTCTTTTCTTTTAAATCTGTCATATTAATGATATTTATGAATTATATTTCTAACAGAAGGTGGTATTTGAAGTAAATGCGACCTCTTCTGCTATCTCGGCGGCTGATGAAGTATCATTTTGCTCAACAATTCCATGGATATTCCTATGTGCCCTCTCATTAAATTTTGAAGGCCGCTCTGAACGGGGTATGTTTAAAACTCTCTAAACTTTTGTACAATATTTTGGACACTAATAAAACCAATTTCAAACTTATTCGCTATTTGTCGGTAGCTAAGTCCGTTAGAATGTATTTTAATGATATGTTTTTTTAAACTGAAACAATATTCACTGGTTTTACCCATTCCGTTATGGAATATGCAGCAAAGACTGACTTTTATTGTTATCATTGCACGATCGTCAATCATCCGTACATTCCGTATTCCGTACATATATTATTACAGTAAGGCTCGAAATCGGCTTTGTACCAAATATAAGCTCCTGGCATGCTCAAATACCATGAATGGGGTACCGTTGGATTCAGAATTTCACGGGGGTTAGCGAATCGTATTCTCCGCTTTTGTTTTTCTTTCTAAAATAAATAAAGTCGATACAAACATTTTGCTAGGCTTCAATACAGACGGTAGGTCTGTAGATCGATGCGGGACAAATTGGACCTTGAAGATTTTGATGCGTACAGCAAGACCCGGATAGTTCCTCCGGAACTATCGGATCCTGCGTTTATAAGCCCAAAAACGTACCATTTTCGAGATAACGCAAGGCATGTGGTTCGCATCCACATAACCTGACGTTAATTGTAGTACTGTCATTGGATACACGTCATTTCGTGGACTTGAGGTCTCTATGATCGAGACAGGAGGAGTTTATATTATTTATCGATGATGTTTTTGATGGGTAAGCCATATCATCGTTAATTTTTCACCAAATCTCAAGATTGAGCCACCAATTTCGAAGGCTTCCTTCTCCTTCAGGCGGGAAAAATATTCCAATCACCCCGAAAATTCAGGCAAACAAGTTATCAAAAAAAATAAACTTTATTTGCGAATAACTAAAAAATTACACACTTTTCCCTTGGTCATTCACATGATTGTATAAAACGTTACTAATTTTCTACAAAAGGAAAAAAAAGTCATCGAAATCGGACAATTTTTCGCAAAGATACAGTTTATTGAAATTTGTAAATATGTTGGTTCCAAACAAAAATGAAGATTTAAATTTATTTTGTTTCGTTTGTGGATTATATTTATGGATAAAGTAACAATTGATTTCTTTATCTTTTGGTACGTTGCATTATTTTATTTTCTTATTAATTTGGCATTTGATAACAATATGCTGTGCGAATTTTTCGCACAGGCCCACTAGTTGTTTCTAATTCCTTGAAAGAAAAATTATTAATTTGTTTTGACTGTAGCTAATAGTAAACTTTTAAAACTGTTCCAATACGTTTTTGACCATCAAAATTTACTATTTATGTTTACTTTAAACACAGCTTTTGAATTCCGAACATTTATTGCTTCTAAAATATAATTTTCAAAGGCCACTTTTTTGTATAAATATTATTTCTGAAAAATCTCTTAATCCTATTGAGATTTGCAGAAAAAATGGAGTGTGCCAATATTTTTTTGATCCACTGTTGTTCTTATTTCTGAAATTAAGCTCTTTGGAAGCAACTGTTATGACTTTATAACCTTTATTTGGTTATACTGTATATTACTTTGTGGAATGGCGCCTATAATGAATATGTAGTTGTCATTTTGATTTCTCCCCTGAGCCCAATAGTTATGGTTTTTGAAAAGATTATATTATTTGTTTTCCTTGTTTGATTGTAATTTGATATTTGTAATACTGTCTTTAAATCTGGTCGCATTGTTTTTCGTTATTTTCCTTCTCAATTTGCGTTGGTGGTAATAAATTAGTTGAGTTGTTTGGAAGGAATGTACTGAAGTTTGAGGAGTGTGGATTTTGTTATCATTTGTGTTTTATGTCTTTTTAAAAGTTTAATTTTACATAATTTTGAATTGTTTATGACCATTATTGTATTAAATTCCCAAAATGAGGTGCTGGGAATTTAATAGTGGTATATTTATTTAAAATTGTGAATGTACATTATTAGATTTTTATGACTTGCTATGGTGTATTACAATCAAAGGAAAATTGGATTTCCTAGACATATGCTAATGGAATAATCTTTAAAGTTGAACAAGGAAAAATATATTTTGTTTAATTTGATAATGATGGATGTAATTTCAAATGGAATTTAAATAAACTTTACCTGAAGTTTTTTTTTTATATATATAATTTTTATACTTTATGCCCCCAATTTAAAGCCTCACTTAATGAAATAAGTGACAAAATAACAAAGGATTTTGTGAGTACATATAGTATTATCCTATATGAAAGAGCTGCACATTCCATTCATTGTTTAGTCTAGTTGAGCAGAATTATTTTGTGCCATGATTTATTAAATTTGATATTTTTAACATATCTTATATAAACATGATGGATCAAACCAATGGTGTTTTAGTTTCAGCATCTGAGTTTGTTAAAGGTTTGTCATTTATTTAGTGTATTCCTTTAGTTAGATTTTCATAGTCTCAGTTTAATAATTAGTTTTTATTTTCAGACCAGTTGTATTTTATTACTCTTAGAACTTCAATTAAGCCAAAATCAACTACTAACACACATTATTTCAGTATCGATGAAGAATTGGTATATGAAAATTTCTTTTCTGATTTTGGACCTTTGAATCTTGCAATGCTGTTCAGATATTGTGAAAAGCTAAACAGGAAAAGGAAGGTAGGATATTTTTTTCAATGTAATGCTTTACACTTTATATATATAAATTTGCATATACATACTCTATAATAAATACACACAGTCACACACACACATACATATTGTCCTCCCATGATTACCCAAAAGAGAGTTTTTTGAATAATTGTTAGCCATGGCTTGTATGCCTGTAATTTCATTGTGATTAAATTTTTTTTTTAAAAATAAGCTTATTTTCTAGATGAATACCTTTTTTTTTTTTTTTTTTTTTTTACTTTATTACTGTATTTTTTTATATGTTAAACAATGTGTATTACTTTGCTAAAGTCATAAGGATTTTGGGTTTTATTGAAGAACGAGTGGTTTTCACCCTAATATAAAAGTTCAAAAAGGGACTTTTTATATATAACTAATCATTTAAATGTGATTGTAGAAATTAAAAAATGGCATAACGTTGATGGGTTAATTGTTCACCTGGATGTTGGAGACTCAAGGCCTGGTTTTTGAATTGTTCTAATTATGTTCAACATTTACTCTTCTACTCAGATGTCATATTTTTTTAAAAAATAAATAGAGAATAATTAAATAGAAATATGAAGAAAAATAGATAGAGAACTTAGCACTAATCATTGATAGATTTCTGATGCTCATCAATGATCTTAGAGCTATGTTTAGATAAGCTAATGGATTTCCATTAATCTCAGTTTAAGAGCTTAATCAAATTGTAATTGTCTATTTTTTTTTGCCTTTTCCCTTTTCTTTGAAATTATTTTTGTGAATTGTTTTATTAATTTATGTTTGCATACTTTTCTCATATGGTTATCCCAAAGTAGTTTAGGTTGGGACTCTCATGATAGTTGAAAGGATTTTTTTCCCTATAAAAATGTCCCATATATTGTGTATGTGTTATCAGGAAGCTCAGCATATAAAAAATATTAATTTTCTCTAGGTAAAACATTAATTTTTAGATGTTTATTGTGGTTTAATAGAATCTTCCTTGGTCACTCAACACTTAAGTGAGTAATAAAAATTAATACATGGATAAATCAAGCAGTTGGAACGGTGCTAACCAATTTTTCTCGAATAATAAGTTCGTAAACCAGGCACTATAGCTGCTCATAAGCTATAATATGACTAATTTACTTTTCTAATTTAAATATATCATGAAAACATTTTACAAGTGGTTTAATTTCAGGCACTAGTTGGCTACACTTAAAAATGGGAATCATTTTAACAGAAAAGTACCAAGTTTATATTTTAGATAGTGAATACTTGTCAACTTTATTTTCAAGTGTTTTATCCATATTGATCATGTACCATTTTAGGTCGATTAATAGTCTAGGTGGTGGCTACAATTGAGTATGCAAAAATCCACTCCGCGTTTTCTCTTCAGTTTCTTGTCCGGTCTGTCCTACTGTCTAGAAAACTGGATGTTGCCACCTCAGAATGTGGTATGTGTAGGCTGGTGGTGAGGGGAAACACTGAAGTGATGCTCTTCGTCTATCCCTTATAACTCGACAAACAATCACTGTAGATACTCAAATTTGGTCTCAAATTGTTCGTGTGATGATGCTGAGAAATTTTTGTTATTTCAATTTTCCTCATCTAATTTTCTTATTTTATATTATAGATTGAAATGGTTCCAATGAATTACCATCATGTGATACTTCATTTTTCATGTGAAATTCAAATTTAAAAACTTTGCGCTAATGTGTGGTGCGTAATCATCATAAACTTTTTTTTCCTAATTAAGATTGTCACATTTATTTCATATTCAATCTCCAAATCAAATTCCATGAAGAATAAACCCTTCATGATGTTGATTTATAATGTTGCACCTATTGCGCACTAGAAACATTTTTCTGGATTTAAGGATCCACCACATATATAAAGCTCTCCATCTACCATTCTTTCAAGTTTTGGGAAATTTTCGCTCAGAAATCTTATGTGCTTTAATTCTGGAGAAAAAAAATTTAAACTGATTTAAAATCTAATTATCTGGAAGCTGATTTGAGAATGTTCTGTCATATTTTCCATGCTGTGAAATGCAGAATATCAGAAATTCTCATTCTGAGCCTTGATACTGATATGTTTGTTTTAGGAATTTATTTTTGGAGCAAGCCTTCAAAAATGGTTTGTCTAGGTTTATGGTTCGAAGGCTGTAAAACAAGATGTGATTTTTCCCACTTCATATTTGGCAGCAAAATCTCTTGGGTCTAATATAAGCACCAGTCTACGTGCGTTACATGCTTTAACGGATTGTGATACTTCCATGGAAAAGCATGCATAATCTATTGCACCTTTAAACTTTGTTTAACAACCACAATCAATAATGGGCAATGGTTATCAGAACAAATTGGATCCAGCGTAAATTTATCAATAACATTATATGCACTTTACCTCCATTGCCATAGGGCGATGGCTCAGGTCTTTATATGAAAGAACTGTTGGTCACCAATGATTGAGGAAATTGATATTGAAAGATTTGGTTGGGAATTAAAAGGTAACTACATTTACCCAAAAGTGAAAACGAAAGGTACCCTACCCCACACATTGGTTGAGCCATGTTAATGCAAATCTAAGTGTCGAAAGATTATGTACAATTGAAAAAAAAAAGTCATGCATATTACTTAGCAAGTGTTAAGAATTAATATTTGAAAACAAATGATGAAAGCAATTCTGAATGATTATATACAGTTATGTCCATTTTTTAAGTATATAAATTTGCATTTTCAATTGGAATACTCGTTATTAAAAAAATGTATGGCAAAATTAAAATTGTATTTAAAATATAAAAATTTATCAACTTGTGGTCCCCCCCCCCACGCCCTCCTCCCCCCCTCTCCAGACTAAACCTACCACATTCTGGGTTGACAACATCCAGTTTTCTAGTCGGTAGTACAGACTGGACAAGAATCTGAAGAGAATACCTGGTGCGGATTTTTGCATACTCAATTGCAGTCACTGCCTGGACTATATCACCTATAAACAGGGCCCAATATAAACAGTAGGATTTTATAAGTTTCATGTGGTTATAATTTGAATTATAAAATATCAATTATATTTTATACTTCATTTAAAGTATAAAATATCTACTAATCCTCTCACATATTAACGTGTCTACATGAGGTTCATAGAAAATTTAATGCTCTTTCAAATTGATTATAATGAATTTCTTCGAGAGATTCATAGATTTTTAATTTTGGGGGGAAACCAATAAAACAAAAAAAGTTAGAAATTTCGCTGTTTTTTTTGCATATATATCAGAATGCAATGCAAAATTTCGTTCGGAAACATCAAATTCTGATTCAGCATCCCAAAAAACCAAAGAGACGAACTCAACTGTTTAAATTTTTTCTCATCCAACTATCATCATACTCTATATATATGATCACATGGGATGGGATCCAGCCTCTTATTTAGTGTGAGGGCATTTAGGAATGTGGGGATGGGGGTACAGATCACATTTACTTTACACTTAAAACTAAATATTTTTTTTTTAATTTGTTTTAGGAAAATTTAGGAGACCCAATATTAATTATCATATTTTAAAAAAATTGTTTTAATCTTCTGGCTTTTATTAAAAATCATATAAATGCTGGGAAACAACCATTTGCACCCTTGTATTAGACATTTCATAATCAAATTGGTTTTTGTAACATTGTCTAATATAAGAAAAAAAATTTCAATGTTTTAAGTAATTTCTTTAGTAATAAAATAACATTAACGATTATATAATAGTAATAATAAAAAGGCTTACGGAACCTGAAGTTTCAACTGGTCGCTGCCAACATATTTTTATCCACTGTTTGCCATCCAAACCCAACTCTACCTGATCAGTCTTAACAAAACAACAAGCAGAAAACAAAAACCAAGCTATTGGTCTTTGAAAGGAAAGTACTGTAAAGTATTCGCTGATTTGACTAGTTAAGATTAATGTGAATATTTTATAACATGCCAGAAGGAATGAGATTCCTTCGATAGTTATTACAATGCATCCTCTGTCCCTTTTTGTGAATTGAAATAAGAAAAGATTCTTTCCATTCTTCAGGTAATTTCTCATCCTCCCAGGTATTTTTAAGCAACAAATGTATTTTAGAAACTCCAGCTTCCCCACATGCCTTAATTAGTTTAACAGGAATATTATCAGTTCCCACTACTTATAAGATTTTGGCAATTTCAACTTTCTCTTTACTTGGTTCTTCTATTAATGGTTCAGCACTCAGGTACTTGGAAGGAGGTGACAATTCATTACTTTTAATTTTTAAAATATTGTCAAAGTGTTTTTTTAAACTTATGTAATGTCTACAAGATCTGTCATGATATTGTTACAAGCTATTGCTATTAAAATAATGAGACTGATACTGTATAATATTTTATTCAGTAAGACCTCCTATTTTTTAAGAGGATAATTCTTCGAGGAATATTTGGAGGATTACAGACCAATGAAAATTGGAAAAGGCGGACAAACATTAAAATTTACTAATTTTTTTATGAACAAGATATAGTTCTGATAATGAAGCTAAGAAGTTTGAGATGGGATGGACACATAGCTAGGATGAAGGATAAAGCGATCCCTAAGATGATCCTGATGGAACCTCTCTACAGCATTAGAAGGAGGAGACCAAAGCTAAGATGGCCAAATGGTGTGGCAAAAGATTCAAAGGATGTCCTGGCAGTTAATGTGATGATTGGAGGAAGCTGGTGGAGGAGGAGGGCAAGACTCGTCACCGAGTTGTAGTGTCGTGATAGATAGACAGTATTTGATTTTCATGTAGGATTTTTTTTCTGGCCATTAACTAAAGCATTCATAACTTCTCAGAAATTTCTCCAAATTCAACATTATAACTACCCTTGGAAACCTGAATTACTGTTCTTCCAGCCCACATAAATAACTATTGGATTTCATTTTGTTTTAACCTAAAAATTAAAAAAATCTCAAATATTTTTATTTTGTATCTTTAGTTTACTGAGACCAGGATTGTACCATTTCACATAGCATATAATCTTAGAATAGAATAGAATCTGTGAATCTTCCAGATCACCTTCCTCAGCAGTCTTTCCAGTCTCACCTGATGATTTAAATTCATATTTTATATCAGCTTCCTCTTCCATTCCTCCATCAACCTCTTCCTTCTTTACTCCTGGAATATCATTTAACGACGACAACTTTTATTTTTCAGATATTTCTCCCACAGACCTCATATCCGCCGTGATGAAATCTCATTCCAATTCTATTGGTCCAGATGCTATTCCTGTCAAATTAATCAAATTGTGCCTACCTGAAATCCTTCCCGTTCTGCTTTTCATCTATAATTTCTCCCTTCAGAACTCAGTATTTCCATCCTTATGGAAAAAAACCATAGTCCATCCTTTACTTAAAAATCCTAACCTTCTTCCCCTGAAGATTACCGTCCAATCTCCTTTAAAACATTGTAATCCTTTCTAACATTGCAAAAGCTCTGGAACGGATAGTCCAATCCCAAGTTTCCAACTTCCAAATTGTGCAAATAATTTTAATGTTTTGATTACTATAAACATTTGTATTTTTGACGTAAGTAAAACAAATATTTTAACGATATTATATTGGTATATTTATTTGATTTATTTATTTTTTTCCGGTTGTCTCTATAGACCTTGTAGATCTTTGGCCACCTAAACCACTCTTCTCCACCTCTGCCATGTATCCATCTGGTTTTTGGGCTCCCACGTAGTCTCTTGCCTACAACTCTGGCATTCTTTGTTGAGTAAAGGCGTCCTGATAGATTGCTTTGAGCTACCTGCCCTGTCCATCTTAATATCCTTGCCTTCATATCATAAGATATCGACTGACCAGTTTCTTTTAGCAGTTCTTTATTGTTCCTTCTCCTCAATATGTTAATATGTTTTTAATTAAGTATCACCTAAAAAAATTTAGTTGAAAATAGTGACCCACTGGTGGTCTCCTTGTAAGTATTTAAGTTAAAACAAATGGTTATTTCAAAGCTACTCAGATACTAACATGCAGAGAGATATGTTGAGTTCAAATTTTTAAACATTAATTAAATTAAATTATTAAATAATTTAATTAAAAGATAAAAATAAATTATGATTTATTATTTGAATTGGCAGATCTATTTTCAAGGAAATATGTAATTAGAAAAATATATTTAATATGTTATACAATATGATGGAGGCCGCTGTGGTAGAGAGAGTTAAAGTGCCTGCAAAAATACACTTAACGCGTAGAGGCTTTTTGATTCGGTTTTTATCAAAACCAAAAAGTCATAAGTTCAAATCCCGTTCGCGGGAACAAAAAAAGATAATTAATCACAAATGAAAAAAAAAAATTTAAAATAAAAATTGCAAGCACTACCCAATTACTTCGACCACTACAGCGTGGGTTTTATTCACTCATGGGGACGATAACGTCCCCATCCAGAGATTCACAGAGGGGTGAGTGACCCCTGCGTCGTACACCATAGCTCCTGGTTGAGGGTTGGGCATAGGGCTAATAACCCTATCCCAGAAAACAACAACTTATTACAAAACCTAAACTAAGACTCGGAAAATCGGACTGTCTAAACATGGTAACGACCTCGGCTTTGAATCATGGACTATTCATTGGATCTTGGAACGTTCGTAGTTCATACAGACCAGGAGTCGCAAAAACGGTAGTTAAGGAACTAAAAAGGTATAACATACTGGTAACAGCCATTCAGGAGGTAAGATGGCCAAATGGTGGCGAAACCATTATCGACGGCCATACACTATTCTACTCCGGGAGAAACAATAAAAATGTGGCGAGCCAGCATGGGATATATAGTTAGTCCAGCAACTAGGAAATCAATCATAAACTTCACTCCGATAAATGAAAGGATTGGTGTATTACGAGTTAAAGGTCGTTGGTTTAATATCACGATAATTAATGTGTATGCAACAACCGAAGATAAAGATGGAGAGTTGAAGGATGATTTCTACGATCAGTTGGAAAATATTGTGGACCAAGCTCATAGGCATGACATAAAATTAGTCATAGGTGACTTTAATGCAAAGATAGGACGGGAACCCAATTCAGGCCCATTATCGGAGGCCAAAGCCTTCACGAAAAAAGCAATGACAATGGAGTGAGATGTATCAGTCTGGCAGCAGCTAAAGGTCTAGTCGTCAGCAGTACAATGTTCCTACACAAGGATATCCACAAGTACACCTGGGTTAGCCCTAAAGGAGCGAAAAACCAAATTGACTATGTGCTGGTAGACAAGAGACATCAGAGCTCAATACAAGATGTAAGAAGCTATCGTGGAGCAGACTGTGATTCGGATCACTCTCTGATTAGAATTAAACTATGTCAGAGATTGAAGCGAATTCACACAACAGGGATCGAGTGGAAAGAAGGAGGTATGAAGTCCATAATTTGAAAAATCCTGAAGTAAAAACCAAATTCCAACTTGAGCTGAAAAATAAATTCGAACCCTTGGATAGGACCAACACTGGAAGAAATAGAGAAAGTACTAAAAGAAACAGCTAAGGAAGTGATCAGTATTCAGGAGAAACGAAAAGCTAAGATATGGTTCATAGAAGCATGCGAAAAGGCAGTAGAGGAAAGAAGAAAAATGAAAGTCCTCTGCCTAACTACAACTGATCAAGTTGCTCAGGACAAGTACACAGCTGCCAAGATGAAGGCAAACAAAACTATAAGATCGGCGAAACGGGAATTCCTCAAAGAAAGATTGCAAATCATTGAGGACAACTGGCAGGCTAGAGATATACTTGTCATCATGACGTCAAAATCATGACTGAACTGAGAGTTCCTGTTAAGTTGGTGAGATTGACAAAAACGTGTACAAATGATCCTAAATATAGAGTCCTAATTAGTGTTGCCCAAATGCGGGATCTAGACGAGTCTTGGTCTTACAAACTCGGTCTTGGTCTTGTGCAAGACTCTCGTAACAGTCTTGCAGTTACCTATCAGATTATTACTAGACAAATATTACTGTAATTTTTTAGATGTGAAAAACCTAAGTCTGAATGAAAAATTAGAAGAGTTAAATGCAAAAGTATATTGGTTACACAAATTCTTTACTTATAGTAACTAAAATTGTCAAGTATTAGTAACTGTTTAGCCTCAATTTTTATTCAAAAAATCGTTTTGTTTTTTTACCGTCTTGGTCTTGCAACAGATAGGCGGTGTTGGTCTCAGTCTTGGTCTTGCACTTTTCAAGACCAAGACCAGGACCGATTTTGGGCAAAACTAGTCCTAATACAAGGAGAAGTATCTGAATCCTTCAAAGTTCGAATGGGTTTACGGCAGGAAGATGGACTATCACCGATGTTGTTTAACTTAGCCCTGGAGAAGATAATAAGAGCAACATAACAGGAAAATGGAGGGGTCCATGTCGGAATGAATCATAAAATCCTTGGATACACATATGATATAGCTGTCCTTGGAAGTAATCAAGAGGACATTGAGAAACTCCCTACAACTCTGAGAAGCAGAGCAGATCCCCTACAAGTAAATGAAGACAAAACAAAACATACGATAATACGCCAAAAATTCCACCCAATAACAGGACCTGCGTAGAAGAAAATTATTCCCAAGAGTAGAAAAATTCAAATACCTCGGCTCCACAGTAACCTTAATGAATGAACACTGTGCAGAAATACACCAGCGTATAACTAGTACGAACAGAGCTTTCTTCTCCCTCTCAAAGGTATTAAAATCCCGAAAAATCTCAAACTAAGGGTGTACAATGCTATGATAAAGCCAGTTCTAATATATGGCTGTGAGACATGGACACTAACCAGCACCCTAGAAAAAAGTGTTGAAAGATAGAGAGAAAATCCTCTGAACGATAACTGTAGTGATCTTGGATCGACTAACACATGGAGAAGAAGGACCAATCAAGAACTGCTTACTGACTGGTCAATCAATATCTCATGATATGAAGGCACAGAGGTTAAGATGGGCAGGGCATATAGCTTGTAGCAATACATCTGGAAGCTTCTACGTAATAATGAATGCCTCAATAGAAGGCAAAAGACCAAAAAGCAGATGGATAGATAAAATCAACAAAGATGCAATAGAGCTGTGTTCAGATTAATGGATAGAAATAGCCCAAGACAGAAAGAGATGGTGGCAAAAGATCTACATGTTCTATAATGCTAACAGATAAAAAAAAGAAAAAAAAATACAATATGATGTATTTTCGATTTTATTTATGAAAAAAAAAAGTAAAAAAAATAAAATAATAAAAATGTATATATATATATATATATATATATATATATATATATATATATATATATATATATTTTACTAATATTAACTAATACTTCTGTATATTTATATATAAGTTTATATATTGTCCTAAGGATAGAAGAGTATGCTGTGTATATAGCAACCCAATATAATTGGGCAGCAATCCTTTATATTTTATATTTTATGAAAATAAAGTGTTTCTCTCTCTTAGAATATAAATACGAAGTTTCACTCATTCGGAAAACCATGATCCTAAAATTATTTTCTTATTTGTTGATTTGGTGTATGTGAAATGTCTTATTGGTTGTCATCAATAGTATCAGAACATCCTATTTAAGATATTTTATGTGTGTAATTATGCTTTTTCTCATTATATAAATGTTAATTTATGTATAATTTTAGGCTGCTTCCCAAACTAATCGAAAAATTGTTCATTATACAACTACAGAACCTCAGAAAAGAGCAAATGCTGCATTTTTAATTGCTTCATATTCGGTAAGTACTTTATTGATTAACTGAGTTCAGGTAGCATTACTATATGTTCTTATGACAATCTCATATTATTATTGAAGTTGTATATTTAGTGAATTACCAAAGGATAAATTTATAAATACAGTAGAACTTCATTTATTTGGAATAATGTGAATAAAACTGTTCTGTACTATGATCATTAACATTCAATAAAACATTCTTGATATTAATAAAATTAATTAAAATAATATACAAAAAGATATAAATGTTTAAATAGGTATGTAATGTAAAGATGCAATAAAACAATGCTACTTGATGCAAGATATTTATTTACAATTAAATGAATTTACATATATACGTCCTTGGCATAACAGATCTTTGAAAGCCTTGGCGATCTGTAGAAATTAGACCATTCAATAAATTTGTCTCTGTTTAGCTCTGATATTCACCATCTCGTTGCACCTAGTCATTTGCCTATCTGGTCCACCCAGTAGGCATTCTTCAGGTCTTCCAATCCTCTTTTTTTCCATAGGTCTATGGCTAGCAATCCCAATTGGCATACAATCTTGCCTCATTCTTTTAAGATGACCTGCTCAACAGTATCTGTTTAATTAGTATGATAGTGGTAGAGGTTTAAGATAAACCTTTGCTATCCCACTTCCTCCTGTTTTATAACCTGGAGAAATAAAATATTGAATTTTTATCATATTATATTTTAAATATAAAATAATGAATTATTAACAATATATCTATTTAGCAAACTAAAAGAATTTTCAAACTAAAATTATTAACTTAAAATTTGACGTTATGAAAAGAAAGAAAGATGTTAATTTTAACTTATGCAGTTATTTCGCAAACTTGAGAGCTAAAAGTATTACTTAACCTTAGTTTTTTTAATAAAAAAAGGAATGGAATATATAAATAAAAATGATATTTCTAAAGATAATATATATTGAAGATTAGCATTAATTTCAATTAACAACCAGCCAAGGGATCAATCCATTGTGTTGACGTTATTTTATCTTCTGAGTAATGCTACCTTATAAACGTTGTTTTTACTCTTTATTGTTATTATCAAGAGCCATAGTATAAACTCTGTATAGCTTAGTGTATCTATAAAAGTTGTTCTAATATTGGAATTCTGTGGTTTTTTTCCGGTAATTTAATTTAACATTCCATATTTTAAATTTTCTTTTTTTTTTCTATTTAATATTACTTTTATTTCAGAAAGTGGAGTGTGGTAGCTTAGTGGTAGAGCATTGAGCTTCCAATGCTCAAGATCCCAGGTTTCCGGGATTCTAACGTTTTGGCAGATAAATTATTTATTTTGTATTAATTAAATAATTAATTAAGGGAGACCTGAAACCTGGCAGTTGAGCATAATCTCAATCAAATGATCTTGCTCAGCTGTTTACCAAGAAACAATACTTTCCCTAAATAGTACTGAACCCAAGACCCTTTATGGGTTGTAGTGGCACAGGTTCTTTTTATTTCAGAAATTGGCATATCTTAATTTTGACTGACATAAAATAATAATTTTGTATCAACGAGGACTTACTATCAGGGAAATTCAAAAAGAAGCTGAAGGTTCTATTTATGAAATTCATTCTGTCATCAAAAAGTTGTTAATAACTAACCAAACATTCCGGCAGGTCTAAAAACATAGTTCTGTTTCTGAACAACATTTATAATTATTTATTGTGTTTGCACAATCCTCTAGGTGTAGCAATGTGGCAACCCCATCAACCAATCATCTAACTGCAATCAGCCACTGGCCCTCCAGGTTGAGAAAAACCCAGTGCCAGAGGGTTCCTACTGGGCCAATCACCCGTAGTAGAGCACAACTGATTCAGAGCATTAAATGGCCTCAGATTTGGACAGCCTGAACAGTTACGACGCTCCATAGGATATTAGACTTAAAACGTGGAATATCAAGACTGTAACTGGCAAAGAGTTTGAACTGTTGGAGGAGATAGAGATGTTCAGGTAGACCTAGGAATTTGCAAAGTGAGGAAAAAAGGGCACTGTGAAGTAAGCCTAAACAAGGACCATGTGCTTATCTACTCAGGAGTCCTGGCTGGGTTCAGAGTCAAGAAAGGTGTTGCCATCATCATGAAAGAAAGCACATTTACTAAAGTAAGAGATTGGCAACCCATGTCTTCAAGAATTATAACAGTGTATATGGATCTGTCAATATGGAAGATTGCGCTAAGACAAGTGTATGCCCTGACAGAGGATGCAAATTTTTCTCGACAAAGGACAGTTCTATGCTGATCTAGAGAGAGAGGTCATCAGAGATCAGAACTGTAAAAGAGGAATTATCCTAATGGGTGATTTCAACGCAAGGAGCGGAAGAGACCAATCAAATGCCATGATGTTATGGGCCCACCTGGAGGAGAACACACAAAAAATGGAAATGGTCAAAGGCTCATCGACTTCTGTAACGATTACAACCTCCTCATTAGAAACTCTTTCTTCCCACATAAGGCAGTACAAAAAATAACCTTTTGAGCTGAAGAAAGAAGCGTTAATAGCATTATAGATTACATTGTGTACAGTAGAAGTATAAGAAGATATTTTACCGATTTAAAAGTAATAAGAGGTGCTGAAATTGGTTTGGACAACCTTTTTTTATTGGAGACACCCTGATCCAACGACCTAGAAAGAAAAGGCCCAAAACATACTAGAAAATTGACATGCAAAGCTTTAAAATCCAGATAAGAAAAGTGAGTCGCCCGAGTGAAAAGTGCATCGCCCGTCCTATGAATACAATCTTTTTTAATTAAGTCTTGTATCCACACTCCACAAGATCTCATCCTTCTGACCTGTACACCCATTTCCACAGATCTTCCTCATTTAAACATTCCTTTATTTTCCATTCTACCACATTTTTGAATTCCATTCCGCTTACTATCCACATTTAAAACCCTCTTATTCCAATTCATCTTCACAATTCAATCAGAGGCTGGCTAATTATTTATTATGCAACAAGGTTTTAATTTTCTTTATACTTCTTTTTTTTTCTGTTATGAATATAGAAAAGATTTCATATCACTTTTCACAAAGCATTGTGAGTAGTTTTAGTTTTAATTTTCCTAGTCTAAGATATTATAGAAATAGAAATAGAAAAATCATCTTTATTCTGGGACTAGGTCCCTTTAGAATAACAGTATTGTTCATATATATTAACTATAAATCTGGTCAGAAGACTTATTACAATGAATAATAACAAAATACATGTAATACATTAAGTATTAATTAAGCTCTTATGATAAATTAACGAGGACAGTTGGGTAATAGGGGTTCAGTACTACAATATTGGAGCTAAAATAATTGCATAATAATCACTGAATGAAATTAGAAAGGAAAGTAAAATCTATTTTATAGGTAAAGCATTGTAGTGATGGAATATAAAAATTAAAAAAAATAACTGTTAATATATAGGGAAAGAAATTGTAAAAACTAAAAAAAAAATATATAAAAAAACAAATAATGATATACATAGATTCCCTAAGATATTTAAGTGATTATGCGTAAAGATTAGGAGAAGAGAAAATAAAATAAAGTATATATATACACATAGCGAGAAGTATGTTGAAGATAATTAGAAATAAAATATATTTCACTGAAATACATTTCATGAATAACAAATTAGAACTTAAGAAAAACAAATTTTATCTACTCACAATGCTTAGTGGGTGGTGATGAAAATTCACGTTCAACACAGAATAAAACAATAAAAAATAAGAGAAAAAAAATAATGTCTAAAGAAGATTAAATCTTTATAACATAGTATGTATTTAATCAGCGTCTGATTGGATTGTGAAGAGGAATTGGAATAAGAGGGTTTTAAAGGTGGATAAGGATGATGCATGGCGGATTTTTAGTGGGATGGAATTCCAGAATGCAGTGGAACGGACAACGAAGGAATGTTTAAATGATGCAGATCTGTGGAAAGGAGTGTAAAGGTCAGAAGGACGAGATCTTGTGGAGAAGGTGTGGATAGTTGATTTGAATTGTAGGAGATTGTATGCGTAGGACGGACGATGACTATTGATTATTTGGTAAAGGAATGTGCCTAGGAAATATTGTCTTCGGAAGGAAGGGAAGAGCCATCCTAATTCAGCATAGTGGTGCGAAACTCGGGAATACCTCAGGGCCCCTGTGACAAATCTTACGAAGGCATTCATAATTCTTTTCAGTCTCTCCCCGAGTTCTGCCGAGAGGCCACCGTACACCACGCAGCCGTAATCAAGGTGGGGGAAGATGAGGGAAGTTACTAGGAGTCTACGTGTGGAGATGGGCAGGAGATGGCGGAAGCGATGGAATAGTTTCAAGGTACCAATTGACTGTCGGGTAATGTGAGCAATATGGTGTTTCCAAGAGAGGGTTTGGTCTATGAAAATGCCTAGGTTTTTTACTGAGGAGGTGAAGGTAATGGGATGGTCATTTAGGTACAGGATAGGTATGTTGGTATTGGCTCTGAGAAGGGGTTTATTATCTCTTTGAGATGTTAAAATATATTTCATTTTTTACTAATCTTGGAGTGTGATATATTTATCAATTTTCTGCGGCAAACTAGTCGGTCTGTGAAAAACGTATTTTTATTTGAGGTTGTACACACTAAGAAGTCAAAGATTTTTTTTTTCACATTTTAACTGACCAAGCGAAGTGAAACAAGGGTTATTTGTATGGGTCATCCACTAAAAGCTTTGTATCAATATTTTAAGTTTGATGGATCAAATTTTTCTGTGAGATACCCTGAGTGTTTTGAAGCAATTTAAGCTAAAAATACTGAACTGTGATTAAATAAAATGTGTTTAATCAATTTAAATTCTGCCAAATTACTGTTTACACAGTATCAGTAAATTGTGTGTTTAATCAAGCCTCTAAAAAAGTATGTTTTGAGCAGAATATCCACCCTAAGTGAATGTACTTTCATGTTAACTTAAACATCTTAGTAGAATGCTAGGAAAATTGACATTTACTAATATTTAAACGTGACTTAGTAGTCGGGTGCCTAC